GAAGTCTGCTCTTCTAGAAAGGCTTTTCTACTATTTCCTTACAAGAGGAAATAACTGAAAATGAATATGAATAACTTCAGGTATTCACCTAACTCAGATGCAATCCAAGAGGACAGAAGCATGAGCCTCACATGGTCAAGACAGAAAGAATGTGTAACGTGAGACAGGTCAGATCACCTGAGAATATACACACTCCATATATGCTTCTAGATCTCAGAAACTGATTAGCAACACAGAGCACTTCTTTCTATAATGCAAGACAGTAGGCAGGGAAACCATAAAATAAAGGCTCTTTAAAGACTGTAGCCGTTACCAGACAGATAATGAAAAACTCTGTAACCACAGGAGCATTTATGAGTTAATGGAAAAAATTACATTTACGCAATCCTGACTGAAGTACAACTTGAATCGCTTGAGCCAAACAATCTGCCAAACACTAAGTGCTAACAACGGCCATCAAGGAAGTACTGCTGTAAATGTAGGTTCACTAGAATTCAAAGTTCACAGTTACAGCTAATGCACCAAGGACACTCCAGCCATCAGCTACAAGAGCTTAGACCCAAGACTCCAGAGGCTCCTAGTCCTGTCTGTAACATCCTTTTTCTACCCACTGTAACTTCTGATACGGAACTTTGCCTCCAATATGACTGCGAATTGCCTACACCACGTGCACATCGCTAACCACTCCCTGCAGTAAATGGGTAGGCCCCCAGAACAAACTCCTGCTTTTTTTTTTCATTCACCCAATTCATTCTTGCACACATGGGCAGCCGGCTGCTGCAGTTGGTTTCATTGCCCTGGTTATCTTGACGGCTTTTGGAGCGTTTTCTGTGTTAAAAGATAAGAGCTTGCTCTCTTCCCAAGGTCAAACTCCTGCTTACCTCGCAGGCCAACCAGTAACCTCCCATGGGGGCTCTGCCCTTTGGCTGCTGTGCTTCCAGCACGCCCATGCCGACCAAAGTACCAACTTGCTTGAGTTAAAACACTGGGACCGCAAACACTCTCCTAATCCCTGCTCCACTTCAGAGTGGGTATTTGTGTTGCATCAGGTTTTCAAATGGCTCTAGTCTGCAGCCAGACATAAATTTTCACACTGACAAACACACCAACTGCTCTCATGACATCCCATTTCCATAATGTTGTATGAAAACCCACTGATGTCCCTTATCCTAAGGCAGGCTTATGAGACAATCTGTGATTCAATTCCATAATGGAACTTGCACAGGGTATCAGTCAAATTTAATTTACATTTTTTTCAAGCTACTGAAATATGTCTCTCTTGCTGACAGTCTCTTTAAATGACTGTAACTCACTGACTTATAGCCAGCAATCTTTATGTAAAATAGTGTTTCTCTCTCCTGATTATTTGTAATACCTGCAATTATCACACGTTGCCCAATCAAAGTGCTGCATAAGGTAGGAGTCCATGAATTCTTTGCCACAGTCTCCACAGATGATATAGTCAAATTCTAGTACGGGTGCTAATGGAAAGAAATATTTTTAAAGGGACTACAATGATAAAAACAAGCATCTAGAATTGGTATTACAGGCAATTTTACTAGAATTCACATAAGCATATTACAAACTAGTTTCACTCTATTAAGTTTTTCAGAACAATACAGTACAAATTCAAACCCATTACCACACAATTCCATGTCTGCTGGAATGTCTTCTCGTTGTAATACCAGCGTTAAGTACTTAATTTCAACATTTAAATGAATATTTAACTTAGCCATTGTTAAAAAAATTCTCCACACTTCTCCCACAGAGTGCTTTAAATCCTCTCCTGCCACTTCCTCTGTTCTGACCCTCCCAAAATATGCCCTGATTTAGAGGACATGCAGGCACAAACGAGAGGAAGCAGAGAAGGGATTCACTTTGAAGAGGGTGGCTGGAGCAGGAAACTACAGGAGCTGCGCTGGCATCACAGTTCTCTCAGCTCTGCTCCAGTTTTTTCACTAGCTCAGCCACACCTGCCTCTCCCCAAGAGCTCAGTGGAAGCCTGGGGCAGCTGGCAAGGTTCTTGTCCGTTTCAGCTGGCAGACACGGAGGTGGATGGCCAGAGAGCTGCTAGGAGTGGAATGGGGATGGAGCTCCACTACAATCCTCTCCCCAAGCCCTCTCAGCACTGCTCCAAGCCCAGACTCATCTCAGCGCCAGCCACTGCTTCTGGCCGCATCCTCAACGGGCGGATCACCTCCAGCGTCATCACCATCTGCTTTTATGTTCCACAGGACACCAAGAAACACCGATTCGGGGAATAACAGCTATAAGGAACATCCTTCAACACTAACATTGGAATTCTATCAGAAAATTAACATTTCTATACAGTTTTGAAATCTGAAAGCGAGGCAGTGCTGTGAAATTTTAGGAACACCTGAAGCTGAAGATTAATGGTTAACAAGCAGCACCATATATTTTAATTGCGTTTGCATTTATAGCAGACCCGATCCAGCAAAGACGACATTTTATGTAAATTCAGTTCTACTAGCGACAGCCGGATGCTCAGTACTTCAGTCATTTCATACTCTTACATCACATTCCATCATTTAAGGCAGTGCTCCCGAACACGAAGACATTTTATTAAGACAATGACGTTATGAATTACACAGCAAAAAATACGCCCAGTGTAAAGGCATCCCAGATCTACTTTAATTTATTGTTAAACATTAGCCCGTCAAAAGAAGCAGGGCTGCTAATTGTTTACACTGTTAATGAAATCTGGTGCTGATTTCTAACAAAGAGATACACTGCACCAACAGCCCCGCAGCTGATTCAAGCAGAACAAAGCAAGACAAAGACAATCCCAGAGAAGAAAGTCGATCTATTTTAGGACCTTTACTTCTCCATTTGCTTTTTTTGGGGGGGAGAATATCGCAAGGCAATGTGCTGAAATCCTCCACCAAACGATCAGTAACTTGGCGCCAGCACGTTTTATAACGATAAAAGCTGGCACTGCAGTAGCGCTCCGGTCTTGGCACAAACCACATAAATCCCAAAATTCCCACAACCGACGAAGCCGCGAAAATTTACCCTCACGTCGGTCTTAAAATTCAAATTCCCCGAAAGAAATAATGGAAATAACGTTTATGGGGGAGAAAAAAAAAATTAAAATGTGCTATACCCAAGGGCACTGGCTGTGTCCCACTTTCGCGGCTTAAAATTCTTCATTTTTAATTACCGCGCATTTGCTATAGCCGATTTAATGCTGAAAAGAATCGGACGCGCCACTAATCGAGCACATCCAGAAAAACGTGTGAAGGAGGAAAAGGGATGGCAGCAATAATAATAATAATTAAAAAAAAAAGAAAGCCGCAAAAAAAAAAAAAAAAAAAAAAAAAAAAAAAAAAAAAAAAAAAAAAGAAAGAAAGAAAGAAAGGAAGGATAAGAAAGGAGTGTAAAAAAGCCCGGGAAAAAAAAAAGGCGCCCATCCATCCCGCCCCGCTGGCGCGGCCGGAGCCGGCTCACTGTCGCCCCCGCGCCTTCCTGCCCTCCCCCGCCAACCCCGCGCACGCGGCGCCGCCTCCTCCCGCCGCCTCCCCGCCAAACCCCCGCCGCTCCCTACAGGTTTTTTTCTTAATTACCGGGTGGATGTACGATCTTCTCGGCGGCGCCGCGCTCTTCCTTCTCCTCCTCCTCCAGGAAGAATCCCCCTCCCGTGTCCACGACCTTGGGGAGGGCCCGCGCCCGAGCGCCGCCGCCTGCAGGAGCACAAACGAGGCGGGCGCTGCGTTAAAGCGCCGCCGCCGGCAGGGGGCGCGCGCGGCCGCCCCCACCGCG